CGATGACTCAGCCTGTAATCCCGCGCCTTTGGGGGGCTGAGGTGAGTGGATTGCCTGAGCCTGCAGGTTTGAGACCTGCCTGGGCAGCGAGACCTCATCTCTACAATAAATCAAAAAATCAGCCGTGCGTGGTAGCGCATGCCTGTAATTCCGGCTACTTAGAAGGCTGAGGCGGAAGGATCACCGGAGCCCAGCAGGTAGAGGCTGCGGTGGCTGGGAGCGGCCACTGCACTCCAGTCTGGGCGACAGAGTGAGACTCCAACTCAAAAAAAAAAAAAAAAAGATATTTTAATAAGTAGTTTTATTTTACATATATAGTTTATTAATAATTTTATCTGGAATATATATAGTAGTTTATTAACAGTTTTATCTGGAATAATGAACTAAATAGCTTCCTGCTTTTCCCTAACATGGCTTCATTTCTTTACAGTTTCCTGATTATCATAAAAACATCGACTACCCTGAGTATTTCTCATTGCAGAAATGATATGATTTATTAGAAAACACTAACACAAAGGTACTCATTCAGCTAAAATTCACCTTAAACTAACCCGCAATGTTTTGCTTTAACATTGTTGTCTGTTCTGGGTGAAAACATGATACCTGGAAGGTTGAAGTATGTGAGAGGATGATTTAATGACAAGTATTTCAATTCTCCATCTTTTTGTCAGATGAGATTATGTCTTAAACAAAAAGAACAATATCTAACATCTTAAATATGTGGTTATTATAAGTAAGCACTACAATTCAAAACAGAGGTTCAATATTCATTGGCAGTTAAACGCCTGATTTCCAGTTACTACATCCATCACGCAAGAACCAAGGCACAGTGATTGTATTATAGCAGGTAGTTACACTTCTCTTTCAGGCTTTCAGGCCAAAGGACTGAGCAAAATGGCCACCAGTGTTACATGTGGGCACATGCTGAAGGACACAGGATGACCCTTAGAAGAAAGCCACCAAAGAGGACCAGGACAAACACAACTGTAAGGCAATTTTCTGGAGTCCAGTTCCTGAGAGTGGAATCTGGTAGAGCAAGAGAGAGCATGGAAAAGCCAAAAGACATTAATCTGAATTCCAGCTCGGTGTCCCTTACTCTCATGGGCAGGTTATGTGCCCTCTAAGTTTCAGACTCTTTCTGTGACATGGAACTACTCTATCTGAGGATCCTTATGTCCTTGTGAGGGTTAAGTAAGATAACGGAGATGAAAGTCCTGGCACAGGGCCTAGAACATACTAGCAGCTCAGTAAAAGGAAATCTATTGTTATCACTATGATGGGACTGGTGCTGACCTTGAGGGATCAACCACTGTGGCTGTGATTTAACGTGCGAGTTGTTGTCCAAAGTGCAAGTGAAGAAAGCATTTTAGCACCAAGCTGTATATGCAATAATTATGATCCAATATTACTATTGTGTTGATGTGCATAGTCACACGATGGCAGAGATCCAGAGGTTAATAATGCCTTACATTACTGAAAGCAGCCTTAGGTTACCAAGCCCAATGCCACAACAAGATGCCTTTGTCTAGTAGGGAATGCAACAGCTCAGCCATGTTTGTATTTGTGCTTAAGAAAAATATGATATAAGTTAAGTATTTCTCTCCTCCAGAAAGCTGAAGTTACATATATTTTTAGAAACAGCATTATCAGGGTGGTGCAGACCTACCCTTAGAGAGAGACTCAGAAGCAGCAACAGCAGCAAAACAAGAAAGGGACCCTGGATACTACTCTTAATACTTCCCTTTCCTTACTTAGACACCTGATGCAGCATGTAGCATTTCCTTGAGTACACAAGTTCATCCTCTACTAAAGTCTGCAGCAGGACCCTCTCAAAGTACAGAACAATCACACCTGGATTTCCAGAAAGCAGGGTTCCCTGTGAAGCACAGAAAATTCCACAACATCAGAAAACCCAACACTTAACTGAAGATACTTAACTTGTAAGGTCCTGTCAGGAAGGTTGGACACCATGTCACGATCTGTTGAAAACTTTCAGGCCAAGTCAATTTCTCAAATAGCACTTTCTCCTTTTAACCCCACCTTGCCTTCATCAAGAAAAATGAGGAATTGAATTACAAAAGCTGGTTATGAGTGTCTCTTTCAAAAATCTCACCTTAGCATCCTGTTTTAGAGTGGACATAGCTGGGAGACTCGCAGGTACCTGAGTACATACCTACAAATTTCCAGTTTTTCCTAGTTTTAAAAATGTACATATAGGAACACAGAACTGGAATAAGAGTAAGAAAGTGAAAAAAGGTGGTCTTTCAATAACTGCATCTACTCATCCTATGAGCCAGGTTTCACTGATATTGATAGTTAGACACCTTACAATAGATGTGTGTTTAGCCAAACAAATATTGAAGGTCCAGCACACTTCCGTTCAGGACCTTCCGTTTCCTTTCCTAGGCCATATATTGGGATAACAAAGAGTGTGCACTCAGGGGTTACTAGTTTTATAGCTTTGTCAAGTCACCTTACCTCTTTGAACCTCAATTTTCTCATCTGTAAAATGGTGATAATCATGCCTGTCTAGCAGGGTGGATATAAGTATTTAAAGAGTTCATGCATAAAAAGTGTTTAGTTGTTTATTTTTAGCCTCCAGGTAAAATAAAAATCTCTCAGCGGCGGGGCTTGGTGGCTCAGCCTGTAATCCCAGTACTTTGGGAAGCCGAGTCGAGTGGATTGCCTGAGCCTGCGGGTTCAAGATCAGCCCGGGCAACTTGGCAATACATCGTCTCTACAATAAATAAAAAATTAGCCGGGCGTGGTAGTGCACGCCTGTAGTTCCGGCTACTTGGAAGGCTGAAGCAGAAGGATCGCCAGAGCCGAGCAGGTTGACGCTGGGGTGGCCGTGAGTGTGCCACTGCTCTCCAGCCTGGGCGACAGACTGAGGCTCAGACTCAAAAAAAATCAGCATCTGAATCTTAGGAAGGAAGAGATTATCAGCATGAATCTACTCAGATTCTAAGATAATCATCACACTCATTTACTTCCCAGTTGGAGTGGAGAGTTAATTTACATGATGGTTTACTTTGTAGCTGAGTGCAAAAGGATTGGTCTCTCTCCCTATGTTAAATGTGAGAATACGATAAAAGTGTTCAATAAATGTTAGCTGCTATCATTCTTACTGTTGTTATTACTTACTAGTCCGGGGAAACACATGTAGTGTGGAAAAGAAAAAGTAGGGAAGCAAAGGGGTTTTTTTCCTTTTTTGATCATGGCCTGTTGAAGCCGACACTCTTAAACACTTTTGAATAATTTTTATACTTTCCTCATTCCTCCCTTGACCTCTGAATCCACAATTTTTCTGAAGATCACTGGTTTGTTTTTTCATGAGTGTCCCTGCCAGACTCTCCCAAGCATCCTAAACCACATGGCTGTCAGAGTTTGTGAAGATTCCTGGTCTACCCTGATTGAACATCAGTGTGCATACGTTGCAAGAATCCTTAATTCCCAGAATGCTTCCAAATCCCTGAAGCCTCCAGACTCATGGTGACTGCCTGGGGTGAAGTGGGGGAGGAGATGTGCCTGGGGTGAAGTGGGGGAGGAGATGTGTCCGTTAAGAGGTTAAGTCGTTACTGGTGTGGGAATCTTTACATTAGAGAGTAAATGACCCCTTCCCCAGTGACACTTAGCTTCAGGAAGCCGGCTGCAATGTGAGATGGGAAACTTGATTTCTCAAAACATGTTTCCAGACTCCAGTCGCTCTATGTTTGGCTTCAATGAGAAGGAAAAACACTGACAACAGCTGCTGTTTCTTGGGTGGATACCAGCAGCTAGAATTTAAACAGTCTCTTGTTTAAATAGTAGAAAACTGTACAACTGAGCTAGACTTCCCAAAAGTCAAGGCCAGATAGAGAGGAAATAAAGCATTCAACATAAGAATGAAAATGAATAACCAGAGTTCAATGGTTAAAGAAGTGGCCTCCAACTATTATGTTCCTTGGAGCCTTAGAGTTGCCTCCTAGATGACTCAGGGACTGCCTGGATGGGGGGGGAGGGGTAGTGTGCATGTGTGTGCATTTGTGTGCAGGTGTGTGTGACCCTGTCTGTTGTAGGCACCCTTCACCCCTACCCCTGTATGTTGCAATGCATTAGGAGAGAGCCGAGAACATCCCACACCTACTGTGGTTGGACTGAAAGTGAGGATACAGCCTGTGAGGGCTAAAGTGGGTGATACGAAGGAGGGCCAAACTGAGACATGATCTCCCAGAGTGATTCTAGGAGTCCTAACACATCTTTTTTTTTTTGAGTTGGATTCTCACTCTGTCACCCAGACTGGAGTGCAGTGGCCACTCCCGGCCACCGCAGCCTCGACCTGCTGGGCTCCGGCGATCCTTCCGCCTTAGCCTTCCGAGTAGCCGGAATTACGGGCGCGCGGTGCCACGCATGGCTAATTTTGATTTATTGTAGAGATGAGGTCTCGCCAAGTTGCCCAGGTGGGTCTCGAACCCGCGGGCTCAGGCAATCCACTTACCTCAGCCTCCCAAAGGCGCAGGGATTACAGGCTGAGCCGAGCCCGGCTCTAACACATTTTTTTAAGAAAAAGAAAATGGTTGGGTTTGGTGGCTCAGCCTGTAATCCCAGCAATTTGGGAGGCCAAGACAAGTGGATTGCCTCAGCCTTGGGTTCGAGACCCTCCAGGGCCACTTGGCAAGACCTCGTCTCTACAATAAATAAAAAATTAGCCGGGCGTGGTAGCGTGCGCCTGTAGTTCCGGCTACTTGGAAGGCTGAGGTGGAGGGATAGCCGGAGACCAGCAGCTCAACACTGGGGTGGCTGTGAGCGTGCCACTCCACTCCAGCCTGGGCAACAGAGTGGGATTCCAACTCAAAAAAACAAAACAACAACAACAAAAAACCCAGAAAAGCAGACTATTACTTTAAAACCAAGAGCCTATTTTTACAGTTGCTCTGAGAACAAATTAACTAAAAATGAAGCAAATGTTTTTTCAAATAAGATGCTCCTCCATTGGTCACATGGATGAAAATCAGCCTTACCTTCACATATTGAACAAGACGCTCATAGACGTTCACTTTGTAAGTCTGTATGCCCAGCTCCTTAGACAAGCGTAAGATTCTGTTTTGGGTTGGTCCCACATAAGCTCCGCCAACATCTACATAATCAACATGCTTATTCTGCCAAAAGAGAAAAATTGGTCAAAGACTTAGTTAAAACAGGAGGAAAATGTCTTTGTGTCTTCTAAAAAATAATCCCTTTTATTTTTTGAAACTTAACTGTGACTTACATTTCCTTTATCAAGGGCAACTGAAAATAGCAATCTTTTCTCCTGTACTCAAGAACTGGGGCACACCCTGTCTGAAACTCATCACTAAGCACGACCATTTATAGAGTTATTGGTAAGGCCAATTCAGCAAGATAATACATAAAGAATAAAGAACACTGTAGTACATTCTGCCTATCCAGGTCCTTTGCAAAACATTTATTAGGTATGCAATAACTGGAGGAGCCACCCAGGGATTTATTAGGCCGAATGCCCTGATTTTCTGCAGATAAAATCTTAAATTGGTCCACATTGATGGGCTCTAGATGCTATTTTAAAACACTTCTGGGGAGGAACAATGTATCATAGGAAAAGACTACAAAAAGGTATGAAGATTCATATGCTACTAAATTCTTTACAAATGTGCAAAACCTTCCATAAATGAAAATTGTTTACTTTCTCCCTCTTAAATGCAGTTCTTCACTTTTTTCAGCTTTTTTTTATTAAGACATTTCCAAATAATTTAGTCAATAAATTGAATATTGGTGAGCTACAATTCCTCCATGTTTTTGTAATAACTTCTTAGGGGCCTATTTCTGTCTTGGGTTCTCAAGCATGTTGCTTTACCCTTTCTCCCTGTGTCCCCGATTATTTTTTATTGTATGTCACTCATTGTACTTGAAAACGAGCAGAATCATTTGAATCCCAGAAGGAAGATATCTTTCTCAGGGAGGATTTATGTTTGCTTCTGCCCAGAGCCTGGGACACTAACAGCACTAGATAACTTTATTCCATTTTCAGAGGCTGAGAGGATGTGAAGCTGGGCTGAAATGCACATGTGGCCTAGTCCTATTGCCATTCACCCTTAGTCCAAAGATGCAGCTCCACCCAAAGCATGAGGAGTTGACCAATACACTCCCTCCCCTCATACACACACACTTCATGGGGCTCTTGACTTGCCCTTCCGTCACCTTAGCTTTGCAAGATATCAAAAGCGCTGCTCAGCCTCCCAGCAGCTTCTTCAGTGGTCAACAACCCCCTCCACCACCCAGGGAAAAGTAGGTCAATCCTTTCTGGGTGTTGGCCCAGTTGCATTGGAGTATCGCTAATCTCAATTAGTTAGTGACTATACTTTCTTCTCTTTTCTTCTAGAAAAGTTTGTATATAAATAGAATAATCTATTAATTGAACATTAGGTAGAACAGAATTGTGGAGCTATCTGGGCTTTGTATTGTCTTTGAAAGAAAATCTTAAGCTACAGAGTTAATTTATTTTGAGGTTAAAGCACTATTTCATGTTTTCTATTTCCAGACTATATCAGTGTTAATTTTGATAAGTTATATTGTTCTCATAATATATACATTTCATATATGTTTCAAACTGTTGGTTTAATGTTCATGACATCCTCTTTTCATTTATTTATTCTTTATTGCACCAGTAGTTGTATTGTTATATTAACTTATTATTGTTTATTTGGGGTGTCTCTTTTTTCTTGTTCTGGAAAAATCTTATCAGACACTTGTCTGTCTTTAAAATCAACTTTTGTTTCATAGATCCTCTTTATTGGATGTTCAGTTTCTATATCATTGATTTGTGTTCCTTTCCCCCAATTCTTTGGATTTATTATGCTCTTAATTTTCTAACTCCTTGCATATTTAACTTTTTCCTATTTAGCTTTTTTTTCTTTTCTAATGGAATAATTTAGACTATAAATTTTCCTCTAAGTATTGCTTTAGCTGCATCCATAGCTTTATGTTTATTATTTTCATTATTGTGCAGATCTAAGTATTTGCCTGCAGAAAAGAAAAAAAAACATAATACTTATTTTCCTTTATGTTTCCATCCTACTTTATACTTCTCATATGGTATGAAAAACCTTATGCAGAAAATTTAAAGCATCAAGGTGTCGGTAGAAGTGGGCTCAAATCCTTACCCCCCAGGACTCAAATAATTTACACACAGATAAAGGTCCATAGAAAATGAGCAACCCACAATCAAAAAGTCTGAACAAACAAGGCACCAAAAAAGAATAAACAGAAAAAATGATCCACAAAGATTTTGTAATAGTTGAATTATACACAATCTAAAACTACTGTCTAATATGTTTTAAATAAAAGCAGTGCTCAAAACTAAAAGCAGGTGAAAATAAAGTTTTAAAAAATCAGGTAGACTAAAAAATAATTTCTAGAAATAAAAATATACTAATTAAAAATTTTAAAACTCAGTGGCTGAATCAAATAGGATAATAGACACAGATGAAGATTGAGTGTACTGCTAGGTCTGAAGACATTATCTAGAATGCATTTCAAAGGTAAAGAATTGGAATATATGTTGGGGGAGCATTTAAGACATAAATGATAGCATTACAATGGTATAAAAACATTAATGGCTGAGGATTTTCCATCTTTGCTGGAACACAACATGTCCAAAGCATGGTAAATAAAAAGAAACTCACACCAAGACAGAAAGAAACCGCCGTATATCAAATAAAAGAGATCTCAAAAGCAATTCTTAAAAAATGTCAACAACAAAAAGCAAATCATATATACTCTAAAAAAAAATTCAACAGTTAAACTTATGAATGATGCTTCAACAGCAAAAATAGATGCCCAAACATAGGGGAATAATATATTTACTGTTCTGAGAGAAAGAAAGAGATTTTTTTTTTTTTTTAAATGAGACAAGGTCTTGCTCTGTCACCCAGGCTGGAGTGCAGTGGTATAATCATAGCTCACTGCAACCTTGAACTCCTGAGCTCAAGAAATCCTCCTGCCTCAGCCTCCCAAGTAGCTAGGACTACAGGTGTGCACCACCACACCTGGCTAATTAAAAAAAACTTTTTTGAGTCAGGGTCTCACTCTGTCACCCAGGCAGGAGTGCAGTGGTGCAATCATGGCTCACCACAGCCACAACTTCCTGGGCTCAGGTGATTTTTCCACCTCAGCCTTGTGAGTAGCTCAGACTACAGTAGTATGCCACCACACTTGGCTAATTTTTAAATTTTATTTAGAAATGAAGTCTCACTATGTTGCCCAGACTGGTCTAGAACTCCTGGGCTCAAGCAATCAATCCTTTTCGGCCTCCTAAAGGGTTAAGATCACAGGCATAAGCCACTGTGCCTGGACCTAATTTTTAAATTTTTTGTTTTGTAGAGACAGTGCCATGCTGTTTTGCCCAGGTTTGCCTTGAACTCTTGGCCACCAAGGATTCTCCTGTCTTGGCCTCCCAAAGCACTGGAATTACAGGCATGAGCCACCACACCTGGCCAAGAAAGAGAAATTCTAACCAGGATTTGTTACCTGCTAGAACTATCTTTTGTCAGACTCACAAACAGAGAGAGCTTAGGACCCAGACTGGAGAAAATAATAAATATTTTGTTTTAAGCAGAATGAAATTGATTACAAATAAAAGATCTGATATCCAAGAGATGACAATGCACAAAGATATTGGTAAATATTTAAATTTAAAAAGCAGCATCAACAACAGAATAAAACAAAATTAATAATGCCAAGTATTTTGGGAGGCAGACAAACCTGAAACAAAATAATTTTATAGTTTACAGGCTGGAAGAAGGGTAATCACAACTGAAGCATGGAAGTTTTTGTATTTTTTAATAGAAAGATAATATACAGATAAACTTTGGACTAGATTAAGTATACGTGTTAATATAGCTAGGAAAATTGTATAAAGAATAGACCTGACTACATAACTTCCCAACAAGTAGAAGAAAAACTCAGAAAGAAAACCCTTAACCAAAAGAAAAAAATGGGGGGAGGGGAATTGTTAAAGTGGGACAAATGGAAAGCCATAGCATAATAAGAGGTAAAATAAAAACATTTTTAAAAGAAATAATAAATAAAAATGAGCTGAACTTATCAATTTAAAGAAAAAATGGGCTAGGCGCGGTGGCTCAAGCCTGTAATCCCAGAACTTTGTGAGGCCGAGGCGAGTGGATTGCCTGAGCCCACGGGTTCAAGACCAGCCTGGGCAACTTGGTGAAACCTCATCTCTACAATAAAAAAAAAAAAAAAAAAAAAATTAGCCGGGCGTGGTAGTGCACGCCTGTTGTTCTGGCTTCTTGGAAGGCTGAGGTGGTAGGATCTCCTGAGCCCAGTGGGTCGATGCTGGGGTGGCCGTGAGTGTGCCACAGCACTCCAGCCTGGGAGACGGAGTGAGACTCCACCTCAAAAAAAAAAAAAAAAGAAAAGAAAAAGGAAAAAAATGTTAGAATTAAGAAAGTTTTAACTGAAAGATAAAGAGATATGCTAATTGATGTAAGCTATTACAACTACATTACTATCAGACAAAATAAATCTTAAAAAAAATTACAATGAAATAAATGTCACTACATAATGATGAAAGACCCAGAAGATTGAACAATTCTAAATTTGTATGCACTGAATAATGTAGCCTCAAAATATAAGCAAAAATTGACAAGAACCAAAGATACATGCCCACCAGAGGGAAGAATTTTTAACATGCTTTTAAAATTTAATAAGAAACTAAGAAAACAAAAAAGAGGGAGCACAATTAAGTTTATTCTAGTGGACATATAAAAATGTTTGGATATAGTTTTTGCAGACTACATGTTCTCCTCAAGCAGAAATAAAAAAATGTTTGAATACTGACCAAGTGCTAGGTCATAAAGTGGGCTTCAAAGATTGATATAGTATGGTCAATATTCTTTGACCATGATGCAGTTATAACAAAAAAATAATGAAACACATTCCAGTTGTGGAAATTAAAACACAAAAAAACTTCCAGAAGCATGGTTCTAAAGACTCTAAGACAAAAGTGTACCTGGTCTATTCTAGAAACAGCAAGAAGGCTAATGTGGCTGGAACCAAGTGAGCAAGAAAAAGAGAATTGGACATGAAGTTAGAGAGGTCGTTGGTGGCACAGGTGATATAAAGCCTCACAGG